GCGTAACAATATGGCAGACTCAGATCAACATTCCCAGCACAAGGATGAAGGGCGGTGAGAAGGCCAGCATGAAGTGCAGTTGTCATGACAGCCGCTAAAAAAAGGGCACAGACCAAATTAAGCAAGTAAAATATTGTGACAGTGAAGGCGTGATTGGAGGATATAGGAAATGTGATAGGCCAGGGCTGGGAGATATCATAACTGTTTAGCACACGTTTGGTCAAAGGATCGGCTTCACTTGTCTCGTTGACGAGTTGTAATATAGTGCTACGACTCTGGAAATAATTATGCATAGAATGGACCCAGGACAAGGTGCGTTTCTATCAGTCATCCTACCATTATGACCGAGTTGCGAAAACAAGGTCAAACAACTTCTATCAAATGATATGTTGATTTCATGTGGTGAATAAAGTGAGGATACGATATGAACGACTATGATGAACCGTGGATAGCGTTAGCCTGTTCTGTAATCACCTTGGGTTGTAGCCGGAATTGCATAATCCGACGTACACGCGTACAGATGCTGACATCCGCACATGGACACCTTGATTAATATGAAAGAGAACTAACCAAGTCATTCTATATCCATTCCATAGTTTAAAATTACGAGTATATATAGCATATATGATGATTCGGATTATCTTCTCTACCTAGTATTAACTTGAAGCTTTTGAAATAATAAGTTCAAGTTTTGACGATGTCCATCATATAACAGATGAAGGTTCAGCCTGCTTTCAACTGAAACGAGGGAAAATGCCTCGTAAATTGCATCAACCTAAGCGTCATATTAAAGCCAAAAGGCTGCGGAACGGAAATTATCAGTCATCATCCAATGAACCTACTTCGCCCCTTTCCTTTTTATCCGGAAGTAAAGTCCCATAAAAACGTTATCTCAAGAGATTCATTGACACCCACTATGTAATGTATACATGTGTATGATTCGATCAACAAATAATAATAATTTTAAATATACTTCAACACCATCAAATTGAGATGATTTTTGTACCTGAATGCCTTCATGAGAACATAGATAGAAGTCAAAGTCCCGAGGATGAGTAATCCCTTTATCGACAACTGTGCCTGGTTCGACATTTTTCATCCTATTAAAAAACGTCAACAATGGAAGTAATGAAAAAAATGACTGGATAAAGTTTATTTAAAAATAATGAAGTAATGAATAAGTAATTACGAGTCTGATCCAATTTGTGACAAACATAGGGGTCTATAGTTCAATCTAAAAGCTGACATCTTCGATCTGCCAGGCATGTTTACGAGCAACATACTTAGCTAAATTCGGTACCTTCCTACGAGCTGTCAATCTTATAAGGCAAAAAAGTAGGTTCCAACTAAAAAGGCAAGATCGTGGTGAGTCGCTAACAAAAACCAGACTAATCTTTTAGGCTTCCTGTAAACATGATTAAAGAATTTCATCAAACAAAATAAAAGCTATTCTATACAGAGTATCCGCATTAAATATACGATTACCTAATAAATTGGTCACTAAAATGAAGTCTTAACAATTTCACTAAAAGATAGTTTTTTTAAGGAAAAATGGGTGCATACAGAGAATCAACAAAATGACAATATTTTAGAAATTTAAATACAAGGTAACTCCAACCAACTAGCTACAAGTTGGGTTAAGCACTGAGAACAAAAATTAAAGATGCGTTGCTCAAAGTCAACAGGTATATTCAAGTGTGAGACGGCAATTGTTACTCGCCAAAATTCTGTTATTCAACAAAATTTTACTAGAATCGCGTGGCCATAATGCAAGGTTTGCAAACTCGAAATAATACTTCAAATGAGGGAATAGAAATAATTTTCCAAAAAGCACAGTTGGCGTCTAGAAGGCAAGTGAAGTTGACCTTCCTTAATCGGGTTCGATGGATATAAGTGTGACTGACTTTACAAAACTTCTAAAACAACGTATATATAACCTCTCTTGTTTCTAAGTTATTTCTAATAAACATTCTTAGTCATGTTAGCTGAAAATGAGTGTACTGAAAACGGTAAAAATGTCTAATATATATAACTCTAATTCCGACATGCTGAAAAGAGCTTAGTATTCAAGAGATAACTTTAACTTCAAAGTAAAAATTAGTACTGCGTCTAAAAAATTCAATGTTAGTAATGGGGAAATTCGAATAGCAAAAGGAGTCGGTACTATTCGATACTTTGTAAAGTATCTACTTTAGATAAAGCTGACAGAAATTTTATCGACTTCTATGAATTGAAGGCGCCAAATTCTTTGTAATATCCCAAAAAAGATCTCTTGGTGTCAAACAACGCAAGTTGAGATAAGGAGAAAAAATATTTCAACATCAGTGGCTAACAAGTAGTTGTGCCAATTCGGCTTTTTTATATACGTACTTCCTATTTGTTGTAAAACGGCGAAGAAGATTTTTGCTAAAATATTCTGATTAGACACGAATACCATTTCGTATGAAAGCATAAGTCTAGAGAGCAATCTAGCCCAAAAGGACGTAAGAACTAATGCGAAATGAATACAATTAATTTGGAGAACGCTCAAATTAACTTATCACTAGAAAATAGAAAAGTAAATGGCTTAATTTTTGCCATGCAAAAACAAACAATTCTAGCCAAACAATTACAAAGAGATTAGAATTCAGAGATTTGCCGGTTCTGCCATATTTATTAAACCTTTAGCCAACAGGCTGCCATGAATATTCGTCAGTAAAATGTTTTATATGACAATAACGTCAATCTATGTGAAGATATCCTTAACTGCAAGCACTCAGATGCTATGGTGGGAGTAGACCAAACGAGCTTTAGATAGCTGGAGGGGGGCAAGAAAAACCGAGGGATCCAGTTTAATAAATGAAGCACGAAATAGGAAAAATAATTTTGATAGTAAAACCAACTGTGATTCTAATGTGAAATAAAAATGCGAGAAAAACAAGATGATATAAAAGCATAAAAGACAAACATAAACAAATTTTTCTGACGTCTCAGAGAATGAGTCCCAAATGTTAATAAGAGTGATAAAAGTAAAACAATAACATACCCGGGATCAGGCGGTCTGAATCGGATATGGTGTCGCTTTTGAACGACAACATAAGTTATGGCAGGCTCAAAATCAGGTCGTAACGATTTACAAGCTTTTTGAATAGCTCTTAGTTCTGATAACAAAACCGTGGAAAATTGGCCTTCAGATACTCCATCACGATAGAAGAAGATGCGGGTTGGCATGGCTTCTTTGTTGTTGCGAATATGAAGCTATGGATATAAAATTATCATAGATATATTTGATATTTTAAATTTAGTAGGAATAAAATGAATTATATATAATCGCATTTATTGTCAAAGGAGACATTTATCGTTGAAATAATGTTATGCAGATACCTGATAACGTTTGATATCCTAGAACGATGTTTGTTAAACATCAAATGAAGAGAATTTCATAGGCAAAGCGTTAAAAAAGGTCACAAAAGGGATGTTCAGCCTTCGCAGTGGTCATGCTAAGAAAATATACCTAATATAAAATTCTGAATAAGTTGCGAGAAAACTAGTAATCGTGTCGCCACGACCCAGCCTCAAATCCCGAGTTGATGATAATAAGGGAAAGAATACAGCACACTAAATATAAAAAAACCTTTATTGGGGCAAGGTCAATTAAAATTAGATTACATAATGAGGCATATTCACTATCAGTCTGCAAACGACCTATGATAGCCCACTATCATTTTCATAAAATAGTTACTCTTCCCGTCTTATCTATTCAACGGC